GGATATACAATTCCACATATTCTGAAATCATTCCGCGTAGATGCGTTTTTTTTTTTGTTAATAAATTAAATATCTAAAAATAGAAAAATGTGTAGAAATAATATTTGACTCTTAATTTTACAGATTTGGAATATTTGTTCTCTAATTAATTGCGGATTCGCAATCAGTAACTGGAATCAGTGATTAAATTCAATTTATCACTGACTTTTTTTCGATTAGATTATCTACATGGCACGTATCCTATGACGTATGGCATTCAATATCAAGCTATTCTTATTCTCTTTCACTTCTCGCATTTTTACACATACCTGTCACGATGATTTCGATTAATAATAATATAAAACTATAGATACAAGTATGAAAAATGGTTTATTGGTTGTTAAAGACAAAGGAACGAGGCATCAATAAGTAAGCATAGAAAAAAAAATAGACATTATGTCTGTGATTTTTATTCTTTCGCTCTTCTAGGACAATAACTTAACGGATATCTATCGATTAATATATGTGTATAGATGTATACTTATCTCAACAAAACAAGAACGATTTAATTGAAGAGTTGATGTTCAACAATAGTTAAGCATATAGAATTTTTTTATTAGAAAATTTAGTCAAATTTTAATTGTGATCATTCATTAGAATTTACAATAATTGAACAATGATGTGGTAAGTTATCGGAATTTTTATGTATATGAATATTATGAAAATCTGATTTTACTCGTACTGAAGTTTATACCGCTTTCATTTAATTGACTATATTTATCTGATGAATTTTGTAAGAACTTTTTGAACCATTGACGTTAATTTTTTTTTTGCTAAGTTCATCATTTATTCAAGAATTGATAGATTAATTTCACTACGTACAGAATATATTCCTAATTCTCGAATATAGTTTTGTAAATGAAGTAACATTTTTGTTATATTGATCATTTAAAAGATCTTGACGTTGTATAACAACAAATTGTATCAAAATTATGCTTGATAAAATTATAGTGTATGTTTTTTGAGAATGAAATAAACGACTGATATCTTATTTTTGTTCTATCAATATGTGTACCTAGATAAATAGATAGACGTCATACCATGATATAACAACATATACTCTTACTTACGTACTCGTACTTGCCCAGCTCTGAAAAAGACAATTCATTTTACGCTTTATATTCTTTTTATTGTTCTAATCATTCTTAATAGCTATTGAGGTTGCTTGTTATGAAACAAAACGCATTTCTTTTTTACTTTTATCAATTTATTTTGCTTATCATAATTTAAAGCAACTAATCGATTTCAATTATATAGGAAAAGTAGACGACGTGTATATGCATTTACAGCGAAATCTTCTGAAATTTTAGTTAATTGAAAATCACGATTTTGAGATAAACTTTTGCTAATTGTTGCCGTGATTTATTTGTAAACAATATTTGAACAGAAAGAAATGCTGGCTATATTAAGCCGATGATTGCTGTCGGACATTTATCACGAGACTAGTATTCTATTGGCAGAAATAAAAAATACTTAAAGAAAATTAACGAATAATTGGTACATACACAAATATATATATTTAAAACGACGATAATTACATAAAGAAAATATAAATAGCTTAGTTTATTTTTCTTTTTCTTTTTCTAGAAAAATATTATTTTTCCTTGTTACATACTCAAATGATATCGATCGTTATTCTTAGTCATTCTTTATGTCTATATTGATTATTCAATAAATTCATGATCAATATGATATCATATGTATACCTTATCGAATTATATTAATGTTACTATAAATGATTCGAGCAATGATAATACGTCTTTCGTCTTCGCTCATTCATCATGGTTCATATTATCTAGTCGTTCTTCGAGTATTGTATTAATCTTTATTCTCTCTACTCTATGTTTTTTCGGTGTTATCTTTATGGTTTTCGGTCCTATGATGCGATCAGAAGCTATGAGACAGGTAGACAATAATATGTTTGATCAAAATTTAGAAAATCGGAACCAAGCGATCGATGGCTTAGAAGGATATGGCGATTAAATTTCATATACGTTTGAAGAATGTCTCAGATCAATGGTTTTTTTAGTTCTATTTTTGTACAACGAAATTTGAATAAAAATTCGGCTGAATATTATAAGATATCAATGAACATATAATTTTTTTTCTAACCTTAAACGATGGAATACATGTGACATTAATCTTTCAGCATTGACGTAATATATATTTTCTAGATGGATTATCGTTTTATCAATTAAATATAACATCTATTTGTCACAGTCAATGATTATTGCCTGTCGTTTCTTTTGCTCTTCGGTGAAGTGTAACCGAACTGAATATAAGAATGTGTATGTAGAGAACTGATTACAACTATTAGAATGATGAAGTAGCTCTATAAACGTCATTACCTAAGATATCGATATCACTACAACTGCACGTCAGTGTTATATTAATATAATTCATCTTCTGTTACACACGTATGACCTGTTGATATATTTATAATTTTATTCAAAGATAATGTTCTTGAAGAATATCTATTTTTGACACTTCATAAACCTAGTCAAAGTCTCTGATAATGAACATTGATAATTAGTTCACTTTTTTTCTTGTGAAAGGCATGATTACTTTCATAGATTTATTTTGTATAACTCCTTTAATTCTTGTCGTCGTCTATTATGACCTTAAAATTATAAAGAGTGATAAACATACGACTGAGAGCTTTCATATAAATGATCTCAATTCTTTTATTCGCGATAGAATCAAACGAATATAGCCGATTATTATTAGTAAGAAATTCTTTATTAATCAAAAATAAATTACATTCAATTGTTCAACAATAAATTTAAAATAAAGGAAAAAATATATAGAATCAATAATTTATAGTCACTTTTGATTGACTTCATGCCATCAATGTAGTTCGAATTGAAAGATAAAATTAAAAAAAAGATAATCTACTGTTCGCTGAACTGATCTCGTAATATAATCCAAAATAAAAATACAGTAAAAATAATTTATACTTACTGTTTGTTTAGTTGAATAGCTTCCTTTGTCATCGTAAACAGTCGTTTAAGAGAGCATGAATGTTCTACTTAGGTTAGTGGAGAACAACTTCGTGTCGTCATAAAAAATATTCAAAAAATATATTTCGAATGTTGTCTAATAATCATAAAAAGCAAAACTAGATAGCTTAATAATAACGGACTCGATGGAGTGATTTCTATCGGAGTTGTTGATATGCAATATAATTGTTAACAAATGTGTCCATTTTATTCAGCTTTATTAAAGTTAATAATCTTGATTATTTGATAACTACAGTCATTTGCTGGCATAAACAAGTAAAAAAAAAAGATGATTAATAACTTTGATATGCAAAAACAAACATAGAAAAACTAAATAAGCTTTATTAATAAAAAAAATATAGGAAAAGCTATTGCTTGACTATAGCAAATAATCATTCATTAATTTACGAATTGGACTTAAAATATGCTTCAAGTGCTGGAATAATTTGTTTTTTTCGACTTATTTTTGAACCCAAATCAGCTATACAATCATTAACATCAACCTTGAATGCTGCTCGAACTACTTGTTCTTCATGTTCACCAGATATTAATGTCAAGTTTTTTTCTTTAAGAATATCAACAATTGAAAATAAAATACCTGTTAAATTGCTTTTCTTCTTTTCTTCATTCATTTCTTTAAGTAATTCATCCTTTCGTTCTAACAATGTATCCACTTTACATGTTTCACAGGCACCTACTCCCCAATGCTCATCATTAAAATCATATGTTTTATAATCAAGAAGAAGAATTTTCTGTGTCGAAAATCCTGTTAAATCACTTTTGGCTTCGAGTAATTTATTAGCATGAGATTCCAGATTATCAATTTTTGCAAGTGGATGTAAATATTCAACAATGTTTCTATCATCATCAGTGGTCGTTGATGATCTATAGAAGAAATAAAATAGTATTCTAGATTTTATAATTTAATCATTGAAATAATTGAATTGAAAATTTCTTAGGAAATAAAAATAAAATTACCGAAAATGAAGTGTATCACTGAGAATAGCACTTATCAGTAGAAAAGCTGTTTTCTGATCAATATTCAAATTGTGTTCACGAAATAATTTTGTTAAAATTGTACCAGTACATCCAACAGGTTCAAAACGTAAATAGACAGGTTCAGAAGTTGTTAGATCGCCTAATTTATGATGATCAACAACATGAGTAACACGCATTTTTTTCAAATTTTTCATAGATTGTTGACCTAATATCAAAAAATAATGAACTAATAGATAAATGAAAATTCTTATATGTTTATTTTTTACTTTCATTATGATCGACTAATGCAACTTGTGTACCTTCGGGTATATTATCTGGTAACATTTCAGGTTCTTCAATATCGACACTTTTCAATACAAATTTAGTCTCATTATTGAGATCACCAAGACGATAAGCTTTAGCATTAACATTCATTTGACGAAGAAATTCAGCATAAACTAATGCTGCTGTAATTGCATCTGTATCTGGATTACAATGACCAATAACTATAATCTCTTGATTCTCGTCACTCATCTTTTTTAAACAATGAAAAATTTCGATTGAATATGAGATCTAAAAGAAGACCAAATATCTTAACTGTTTTTTTTTTTGGAAATCTAAACGAATATTGATTTCATGATCTTATATCAAACAATAGAATTCTACGAGAAGATCTTCATTCTATGCTATCATCAATTAAATGAGACTTTGCATATATGAGAAGAAAAGAAAACCATCGAAGAGAGATAGGTGATCGGCTACTGGATAGATGATAATGTCTAAGAAGTTTTTTAATATCACACTTTCTGCAATATTTCTACAAATGGCACTTCGAGTTGTCAGTGAAGAGTAAAGGATTAAGGATAGGTGGAGTTCACTTAGACACAAGTCTTATAATCTAATGGCTAATAAAAATATCTATCACTGTGGAAAAATCTAATTATTAATAATGATATTTATACTTCAGTTCTTTTATACATGTGTTTTATTTCTATAAAAAAAAACGATAGACTTATTTTTGTACCTATAACTATTACAATCCAACGGTTATGTCTTATTTTCAAACTGGATATATAATACCTACAAAAACAAGCATAATAACAAAAAATGAGAAAAATAGAAAAACGAAATCAAAATAATGAATCTTTATATAACGATATCTCTTAACGATGAACTGTAAAAAAAAACAACCAGAATATATCCATCACAAAAATGAAAGAAAATAAAGTCAAAAAAGAAAATGCAGCCAGTTTATTAGAAATGAGTGATTAACACAAACGTATCACTAAATTTCATAGCACAAAAAAAAAAAAATAAACTAGACTAAATATCTGATCTTAATTATATATATAAACATATAGATAATAGAGTTCCTTTTTAACGTTGAACAAGTTGTGTAAGAAGTGCATTGGTTGTATTAATAGCTGCAATAATTTGCTCGAGTAAACGATTTTGTCGACGTTGTTCATTAATTAATGTTATTAAATTATCATTGATAGAAATATCATTCTTTTGTTGAGTAATAGGTTCTTGTTTCGTCATCGTATTTAAAGTACTAGACAGTGGCATTTTAGCAGCATCAACTGTAGTAGTAGAATTTGTTATTGTTGATGATGGCAACATTTTACTATTGTTTAATATTGCAGGCTGTCCTGGTATATCAACAATCGGTTGAACAGGCAATGGGATTGGTTGAGAATCTAAATTAAACATTGTATTTTTAAATTGTCTCAATAGAGAACTTCTATAGTAGATTAAAAAAAAAGAGACTTATCAGCATTTTTGAGTAGCTACAAATATAGGAATGAATAAATGGTTCAACTAATTAAATGAAAGAAAATATATTTGCATGATAAATTGCTATATGTTCCGGATTATAAATCATAAACTTTTTTTTTTACTATGGAATAGATGAAGACCTTTGCATAGGTGGCGGAGTGTACACTCCACATTTTTTTTGTAAGAATACTTTCTGATCTGTTTTACTAGAAAAAAAAAAGTTTACTGGCGGAACAAAAATGTTAATAAGAAAAAAGGTATTTGCATTGTGAGTTTGTTCATTGTTGAAAATGTTTGATAGGCACGTAATCTTAGTCGCCAAAGACGTAGGAAAATTGTAACCGAGTCTAGTTAATCTGCCCCAGATTTTTCTTACAGTTCTTCTTCATTAAGTCTATTTGACTAAGAAAATATTATTATGAGTCAGCGAAAAATATTAATGTTTGAACAGGAATTCTAATGCACTACTCAAAATATATTAATATGATGGAAGGAGAAAAAAAAGTATTTGCACCTACCCAAGTCCTGTGGCTTGCAAGAATCTGTCAGATTCAAAATTTTCGAACTCGGACCCAGTCGAACTGTATTTTGATATTCTCAATGAAATTTTTCTATTCGGATTTGAATAATCTCATAGACCTCTCGCTCTATTGTTTTATATGAAAAACTTTGTTTTAATACATTCCCCTATTGAAAAAAGTATGTATGTTCTCTCAACTAAGAGCTTTCTAAAAAGACGTATTCAGTGCGTATACTTTAGCACAGCATCCAACTCTACAAAATTTTCATAGAATGTTTTTCCTTTGTCTGACACGTTTACTCACTTATGAAGGAACGCAACGGACTGTTAAATCGCTTTTAAAATTTTAGTGATGTTAATTTATAGAACTCGTTGAGTTATATGGTTCGTTTAATAGTAAATTTCTTGTAGTCAAAGCTTACACTAGCCTGTACATCTGTGTGTACCAGGTCAAAGGTTGAATAAAACTATAAGGCCGTAGGGCTTCTGTGTACATAATATCGAATGTTTGTGTGTCTGTTATCGAGTGAAAGGTTAAACGTTTGAAATCGTACGTTAAAAAAAAACAAGCTGCCGTGTAGTATGCACGAGTTCTCGCTATAGACTCATTCGACCTTTGACCTGGCACAGACAGATGTATAGGCTAGTGCAAACTTTGATTACCAGAAATTCACTCTTAAACGAGCCATTTGCACAAATGATTATTACATTAGTTAATAACTCAACGAACTCTATAAATTAGTATCACTAAAATTTTAAAAGCGATTTAACAGTCTGTTGCCTTCCCTCGTTAGTATAAAGATTTGTAAATACTTCTAGACTGAGATACAGGTTTTCCGTATTCATTTATGATAGAAACACTTTAGAAAAATTCCAAGAAAAGTTTAGGATAAGAGACGCGTCTCAGATATTTTTCATCAATCTAGTTTTTTTGTTTGAGTACTGAAAACAAATATTTCTACGAAAAGGAAGACTAAGTTTTTAATAGAAAATGTGTGATGTTTTTATTCACACGATCGAATCACTCACATTCATTTGATGTTCGTGAAACATTTTCCATTGTTGTTACTGGTATTGATGTTGATACATTTGTAAAAATTTGTTGAACGGGTTCCATAGGTATTTTCGGCACCTTGAATAGAGAACATTTTAATTCATATTTAAATTTCTAATTAGACAAACCTCATTAATTTGTAATTGTTGTTTCTTTCGTAATTCTAATATATGTTCTACAAGTGATTTTTCATTAGTAATTAAATCAACATAATAAATATCTTGATGTTTTTGAATAATTTTCATTTCAAGACGATCAGTTTCAAAATCTCGTAAAAGTATATAACGTTCATCATCTGTTAATTTAATATTAGCTAATTTAATTTGTATACTTTGCCATGGAATATTTTTTAAATTATCTGGACATTCACTAAGACGATCAATTGAAACAATTTCTTCATTACCAAAATCAACAAAATATACACGATAACCATCTTCTATAAAAAAAACAAAAACAAATAAGAAACATTTTTTGTTTTGTTTTTAAAATCAAATGATTAAAAATATAAAAAATACCAGTAACATTTTGAATCCATCCTCGATACCAAAGATCATCAGCATCATATTGTGCACAGACAAGCATATTTGGTTTTGGTTCTGTAGTTAATGGTTGTTTATTAGCATGCCAATCTTTTAATACATTCATTATTATTGGAAGACAATCACGCATAAGTAAAACATGAAAACATTCAGGTTCTATATCAACAGTTGTTAATTGAACATAATGAATTTCTGATAGATTTATATCAGGTTTATTAGAATTAAAATCCATTATTTGATTTTGTTTTTTTGTATTTGATGATAGAAGAATAGTACGTATTTCATTATTTAAATTTCTTTCACCTAAATTTAATCGTACATATGGAATATTATTTTCAATACGTAATACAGTCATTTCAAGTTTAAGATCAAGAACTAAAACAAACAAACAATTAATATTATTAATCTATAATTGAATTAAAACTTACCAAGTATACCAAGTATAGCATTTGTTTGTTCATCTGAAAGTTTTTCATTAGATGAAACACCATCTAAAATACATTTAACACATAAAACTGGATCTTTGTAATATCTAAATGAAAAACAAATTAATTTATTATTGAAACAAAAAATTTGTAGTGATTTTCGATTTTTTTCTTTCTATGTTATCAAGCATTTAATTCAAATCGAAATAACGCTTTCAATAGGCAAATCTTATCTTCGATTATATAGAAGCAACTATAAGGTTTTCACTCCAGCATGGGATACAAAGGAGGGGGGGGGATCTCATTCCAAGCCATTCGAATGGACTGGAATATCTGAGTAGTTTCCCCTCCCTTGCGGTTAACATTTGACCTGGTAGCAGACAAACACTGGACATATCCGTTTGGCTCGGAATGTCCGAATTTCTCTGTAGTTTTCGAAGATTTTCTCTCTTAACTCTTCTCCTCTCCTAAGCAAAACCTATGATTGAGTTTAATTTCAAATATACGATCATAATAATCGTTTTTTTTTACTTACTCATTTGGTAATGGCCGAATCTCAAGAATTGAATCACACCATCCAGTATTTCCCCTATATTAAAATATCAATATAAGAAAACATAAGAAATTTTATTGTTTTACCAATCAATATATTGAACACGTACACGATTTTCACCAACTTCTAAAATACGAGCTCGATACCAATCACCATTAAAAAGTGCAGCACAAATTTGTCCAATAGTTAATCTAGTTTAAAAACAAAAAAAAAATAAAATAAAATTTACATTGTTTATTGAAAATTTTTTACTTTGCTTTGTAAGAATTTGCTTGTACTTTTGTAAGTTGTTCATGTTTATTCATTTGTGTAATAAGTAATGTAGCATTAACATAATCATCTAATGTTGCTGCAAATATTATATTAGGTACTTCAAGATTTGATAAATAGATATTATAAGTTTTATTTATTATAAATTCTTCATGTTCTTCAATATTCATTTGTTGATTAACAATTGATATATCTAATAAAGAAAATTTAATTTTCTTTTTTTTTAATTAAATTTAAATGTTATATCACCGTTTTGAAATGGACTTTTACCATTTAATGTTCTTTGTTGTTGTTGTTGTTGTTCAATATTACCATTCCATAATGGTTTATTCACATTTGAGACTGTATCTAGTTCATGAGTACTCGAATGTGCACTATTTATTGATATTGATTTCGATTGAGTTGTACTCGATGGTCGTTCAATAACTGGTCGAACACTACTAAATCGAGATTGAGTACTAGGTGATGATGTATTAGTGTTCTCATCTGGATTGATATTTGTTGTTGATGTTGTACGACTAATTAATTCAAAACGATGAAATAAAAAATTAAAGTTTACATAATAAAATAGAATTCAAGATTATCTTTGACATTTCAAAGAAATAATTAATTCAATTTTAAACAAGTATTTTTTTTTACACAGTCTTCTAATCATATTAAAACTATTTAATGAGACAAAATATTTTGAAAAGTGTACAATCAAATTCGGAATAACTAACGAGAGAACTGTACATTGCCTACTGATAAAGAGTTATATCTATTTTAATGAAATTTTTATTGAGAATGAGAAATTTCAAGCTTTAGACATGTTTCTTATAGTTCTGAAAGTTTCAAAGAAATTCATAAGTTTTAGGATTTTTTTGTTTTACATACAATCCATTTTGTGATCGATTAAAATTATTATTACCGGACCGTGACTAAATTATAAAACTAATTAATAAATTATTTTATTAAAAATATTACTTTACCATTGATTGACTAACACGTAAAGTAAATCCTTGAATAACATAATTATTCATATGATCAACAGCTTCATTACAACTTTCTGCATTAGCATAATTAACAAAACTACAAAAATTGTTTTTTAAATAAATAATATCCAATATATTATTAATATAAACTAACCCACAGCCTCCTTCAAAATTTGAATTATATGGTAAAACTTTACTTGAAAGTATTTGTCCAAATGGTGAAAAAAGTTCTTCTAATTGATTCTATTAAAAACAAAAATTCATATGTATTTCTATTCAAAAAAATATCCTACTGGAGTAAAATCTGTTGGTAAATTTTTCACAACAATACTGTTAACACGTCTGAAAATAAATTTATAAAAGTATAAATTAATTTTAAAAACAAAAAAAACTTTTATTATTACCTGCTAAAATCATTCATCATTAATATCGAGACAAAAAAAAGCAGATCTTAAAATGATGGCGTATATAGTGAAAAAAATCCCTATGAAGGAAATAGAACGATTAATAAAGTGATTGGTTAACAACATTTAATACAATGAATCACATGGAAGAACAAAAAAAAAAGAAAAAAGACAACAATCAACACGTACATTCACTATTTATTTATTTCTTATTCGTTTAAACATTACATACACGCCAAATTACTAACGACAGCTGTAGTCTTTTTATACGAATAGATAATTAGTTAGCAGAGGCCGTGACAGAGGGAAAGGGTTGTGTACCTTTCCAATAATTGAAAATTATTTACTATCTCTATAAGATATTTTCTTATACACCTCTATCAATTTTGGGACACTCGTACGGCTTCTATTCGTTAGTATTATTATCTAGAAGATAAGCAAATACGAGAGATATTAACTGATTTTTATCATTTTTTTTGTTTCAGATCCAAACTCTTCTTTTTTTTTTATTGTATAAAATTAAATTGTTGATAATGTCATTTTTCAATCGATTATTTAAATTTCGAATTTTCGTATGTATAGTAAATATAGATTATTAAATTTTATTAAGAATAAATTTAATTCGTACAGAAATTTCGTGCAACTCTTAGTGAAGAACTCGACGATCTTCAGAGTGTAAACTTTTTAATATGATAATATCTTTTTCTATTGTTTTATTAATAATCTATACTTAAATAGGAATTAACTCGTTTACAACAGACTTTAATTCAAACACGTCTACGTCAACGACAATGGACAAAGTGGTTTGCTATTTATGCAATTCTTGCTTATGTGATTGTGAATATTTGTTATTATACATTTTTTCTTCCACAAGATTTTGTTACTCAAATTTATGCATTTTCAATTTCTATAACATTTGGAATTTTGTATATAGATGTTTTTTAAATGGAGATTCAATAAATAGTTTTGATTTGTTTTTTTGTTTGAAGGTTATACGGTATTCATTGGATAATGCGTTGGTATTTTCGAAAGGTTATTCAAATGAAAGGTAAAGAAAAATGTACAATATAAAAAAGAAAAAATTTATTTTGTTTTTTTTTTTAGAAGAAAAATTAGAATTATTCAAAGAACGAAAACAAGAATTAGTAAGAGTTTATAAACATATTTCTTATATTCATCATATTCTTTTTTATAGATTGAAGAAGTAAAGAATAAAGAAACATATGCAGTAGCTAAAAATCTTTTGGAAAAATATGGTGAAAAATTAACACCAGAAATTGGATCACCTGTAATAAATGGTAATAATAAAGACTTAATAAACATAGACTATCATTAAAATTTCGGATGTATCCAAACTTCATCAATATACATAACAGTCGTACTTCGGTACATACTCTAATATTGTTAGTCTGTATTCAATCATTTGTCTACCAGTGATAACATATTACTTATCCGCCCAACATGTGAGAGCGTATAAAAAAAAATTGACAAAAGTTTAGAAATTTTCAATATTCTAGGCTTAAACTGTTGAGAATGAAGTGTACCTTCGCTAACATCCAGCGAGTTAAAATTTCATCGATTACAGACAGTTATTTTTATATTAATAAAGTGGACCGCAAAAGTTTAAGATACTTTTTTTGAAGTTTTTCATCAAAGATGAGTAGCTAGGTCAAATTTTCAAAAGAAACTTTGTTAAGCGAGTTTGTCAGAATACTATGCCAGGAGGATTTCAAGTCCTAGAAGATTTTGACAGAAAGATTTTTCAGAATAAGCATCTCGAAGAGCAGAAAATTCTGGACAAAATGAAGAGTCGCCCAACTCTGTACGATATTCCATCACAAAGTTATAAACATTAGAAAAAACAAAAAAATGCGATTTTAATCGGAGTTTTAGAAAACACGTCTTTTCTAATGCTTATAACTTTGTGACGGAATATCGTAGAGAGCTGAGCGACCCTTCATTTTCTTCAAATTTTTCTGCTCTTTCAGATACTTATTTTGAAAAATCTTTCTGTCAAAATCCTCCTGGCACAGTTTTCTGGAAAACTCTCTTGACAAAGTTTTTTTCGAAAATTTGACACATATTGTATTCGACAGAGAATTTCAAGAGCTATCCAAATCACTATTTAGATTTGAGCTAGCTACTCATCTTCGATGAAAAACTTCAAAAATAAAGGTGTTTTAAACTTTTGCGGTCTACTTTAGATCAACGTCCACGCGCGTCAAGCAAACCAACAATATCCAGTGCTGAAAAACCATCTGTTTCTGGTATAAATTTTTTGTTTATCTCATATAAAAAATTTTACTTATTAATTAATGTTTATTTTTTAAGTTGTTTCACCTAATCCTAGTTCATTCGAAAATGGAAATCAATTAGTACAAACACCAGTACGTGAAGGATCAACTCGTTTAGCTGGTAGGTGGTCGTCGTATGAGAAGTTTTGATTGAAGATGTTTTTTTTTCTTTTATTTAGCTGGTGTTACACCTGGTAGATTACCGCGAGCAATTCAACCACCTCAGCGTACATTTTGGGGTGCAATTCTTGATACAATTGTAGGAGATGGTCCATCGAAACGGTAAGATATTTTTATTTTTGAGGTTTATTAAAAGATTCGATTGAAATTATCATTTAGTTATGGATTGATTTGTAAATCATGCAACAGTCATAATGGTTAGTTTTTGCAATTTCATAAAAAAAAAAAACCGTTTTTTTTTGTTTGTTTTTTATAGGCATGGCATTAGAAGAAGAATTCGAATATTTATGTAAATTGTTATTAAATAATTTAATATCAAAAATTTTCTTTTTTTGTTTTTGTTTAGCATTTCGTTGTGCATATTGTAATTATTTTAATGGTGCTCGTAAACATAAACCTGTTTTTAATCCTGATTTATTCAGTACTAATCAAACACAAAATGAAAATAATATTGAACGTATGGAAATATCTACAACAGATTCATCAGATTCTACAGATCCAATAAATGAATCACGTATAACACGTCGATCAATACGTGTTCCAATAACAAATAAAAATGAAATTCGTTCACGTTCAATATCACTTGAAAATAAACATCAAAATCATCCAACAATATCATCATCATCAGACGAAAATTTATCAGCGAAAAACTAAATAAAATAAACATTCCAACATATCGATATATTTTTTTTTTTTGTTGTTATTGATATGTACAATAGTAAATTTCTTTGTCTTATGGAAAAAAAAATAGAATGAGAAAAATAGTGTTAAGCTTTTTTGTTTCTTCTGTTGCAGATAGATTTCATTATTTCTTGTATCAAAAAAAAAATAAAACATAGCAAAGATTTTGAATGTAAAAAAAAAAAAGGGAAAAGATTGTTATAAATGAAATTATTCGTTTCTGTCAAGTGTCATCTGCAGCTGCTAGTGATAAACAAAATTCAACACAAGAAAAAATTAATAAAAAGTATGTCATTTTGTATTTTTTAGATGTTTTTCGTTTGTTAGAGAAAACATCATGTTAGCTCGTTTAACAAGAAATATATTCAGTACAGGACGTTTTCAAAATGTATTTAATATGCCGTTTAAATGGTACGCATTTAGATTGAATTAAAAGAAATTATGCAATTCATTCATAAATGAGAAAGGAAAAATATCCTTGCAATTGAGTTACCTTACGATCTGGAGTCCTGGCTAACGGAAAGATTCAATAGTTCCTCTACAGTCATGACAGATTGTAGATCTGAACAGAAGGCAGGTCTAACACCAAGCTTCCTATACACACTAAGTAATCACAAGAACAAATGTGTATGTCACAATGTAGTCATCATTAGTGGCTTGTCCAGGATCATTCCATGACTTGTGATAGTTAAGTTTGCACGCAGCAACTCGTCGTAGAGATTTGATAGTTTTCTTGTTTGAAAGAATCAAGTTTCCACTACAAAGCTGTATAAAAGTATTTCGCTCGAAACACTCATCGAAAGCGGAAAAATTTTAAGAATACGTTTGATTGAAATAATTCTTTACACGTTTCTGGAATTTAGAACAAAACCTTCATTCTTCCAGAGATAGAATCAATATCGATGTGTCTTATTAATTTTTTTGCTTTTAATATCTCATAGAGGATGTGTAATGAAACTTTGTTGACAGTGGACTATGTTAAATATCATTATCCACAGATGGGATAGTACGATAACTCGTTAGTCTAGTATTTTGTAGCATTAGAACAGAGCATTGTAAACAGGTAAAAATAATATTTTCAAGTTTATTAGATATTATGAGAAAAATTTTATTACGTGTTGTAGATAGAAAGCCAAATTTCTAATAAAACTGTTTCCTATGAAATCGAATATTTGGGTATCAGTCGAAAGCTCGCGTCCCATTGATCACCCTCACATATATCATGTCTAAAAGTTTTCTCAAGCTGAGTGCAAGAGAAGTTGATAAAATGCGATTCTCATTACTGATTTTGTTTGAAGTTGCAAGGCATTTTTCAATAGAGAGCTGCGAGCCCACGTTTTTGTGAATTCCGGTTCAAACTCGAGGTTTTTTGTCATGAATACATAGCACCCTTCATATACACGAACAAGTAAAGGATCAAGATTTCAGCTATCAAGTCTCTACGACGAGTTGGTGTCGTGCTGTACATCAATGCAGAATTTTTGCATAATTCGTTATAGAACTCATAGACAGGATCGATTTGTATTTTTTTTTCTGGGAACCGAATCGATTCCATCTATGATAAAGATTATTTGTAATAATACAGAAAAATGGAATATTTTCTAAGTATAAGATACATCAGATTTTGACATAGAAAAATCATAAATTCAAATAATTCTATGCATTTTAGTGAACTTAGACGGCAATTAAAAGTTGAACGAAATGCTGAAGAAAAAGTAAAAAAAGCAACTACTGTACAATCAACGAAAAAAGACGAAGCTTCTACTCATAGAGAAAATGATGATTCAGAAATTGATCCAAATGTAAGTATACTTCTTCTGTTTAATAAGCAAAAACATAATTTCTTATCATTTAGGAATATTATAAGATGCGATTACATCATATACAACAACTTAAAAAAGTTGGTGAATCAGTCTATCCACATAAATATCATGTTTCAATAACATCACGAGATTTTATTAATAAATATTCTCATTTAAAAAATGAAGAAATTAATAATGATATCGTATCTATTGCTGGTAAAGTCTAAAATTTAAAATAAAAACTAATATTTTTCTCATTTTTCTTAGGACGTGTCTATTCCAAACGTTCATTTGGAACAAAACTTTATTTCTATGATCTTCATAATGATTCAGTGAAAATTCAAATAATGGCAAATATTAAGTAAAATGATTTAAACTAAGATTTCTTATTTAAATTTCGTATATAGATTTTATCATAATGAAACAGAATTTACAACTGTAAATGATCGTATCCATCGTGGTGATATTATTGGTGCTAAAGGCAAACCAAGTAAATATATCTGATATGATTTACTGTTTTATGTCATATAAATTTTATTGATTTTTAGCACGAACAAAAAAGGGTGAATTAAGTCTTATACCAAGTGAATTAGTTATTCTAACACCAACACTTCATCAATTACCTAGTTTACATTTCGGTCTTAAAGACAAGGTATATAATATTGTCAACAACATTTTTTTCAAGACATTCTTAATTAAATTTCATTATAAGATTTGGTTTTTGTGAAACTCACATTATGTTTTTTTTCGAAGGAAAATATAATGAATATCGGTTTGAAGTCAAAGTTTTACAGCTTTTCCACTCAAAGAAATTGGGAGTGAGGAAAAGCCAATGGTCATCGGATACGTTTCCTTAGCAATAGGAAAAGATGCAGAACTAGATATGGGCAAGAACAAAATTGTAGAATAAATAAACATGCAGCATAGACGAAGTAAAACGATTGGTTACGTAACATTAATGTTTCTGAACTTATCGCATTGAAATCTGCTGTAGACATAATGAATATAAATAGAAGGTCACCTTTAGAAGAGCGATGAGGATTTCTATAGTAGAAGGTCATGGATTTTTATTCTTGAGGGTATTGATATAATGAGGCTAAAGAACACATATGATTTCCATATTTTAGCTGCTGCACTGACAAACTGTTATGTCTTATAACTTAAAACTATCGATATCATTTTAATGTTTTTCTTTTTTGTTAAGGAAACACGTTTTCGTCAACGATATCTTGATTTAATGATCAATGATTCTGTTCGAGAAAAATTTATTATTAAAGCAAAAATTACTAATTACATTCGACAATTTCTTAATTCACTTAATTTTCTTGAAGTAAAAATTCTTGTTTATTATCTGTACAAAGTCTCTTTTTTTTTTTGTTTTCTAAATTAGGTTGAAACACCTATGATGAATATAATTGCTGGTGGTGCATCTGCTAAACCATTTATAACATATCATAATGAACTTGATATGAAATTATTTATGCGTATTGCACCTGAACTTTATCTTAAAGTAAAAATGAAATATTTTTTTTTTGTGTTTGGTTTTTTTTGAATTGCTGAAAATTTTTACTAGATGTTAGTTGTCGGTGGTTTTGATCGTGTTTATGAAATTGGTCGTGTCTTTCGTAATGAAGGTATTGATATGGCACATAATCCTGAATTTACAATGTGTGAATTCTATATGGCATATGCTGATTATAATGATTTAATGAACATAACTGAAAAATTAATATCCGGTCTTGTTAAACATTTATTTGGAACATATAAAATAGCATATCATTTAAATGGACTTGATCAAGCACCAGTAGAAATTGATTTTACACCACCATTTAAACGTTTAAATTTAATGGAAGATCTTGAAAAAGCTATTGGTGAAAAATTTCCACCAACTTCAGAACTTTCGACATCGGCGACGAATAAATTCTTTGATAATCTCTGTAAGAAACATGATATTGAATGTAAAAATCCACGAACAACAGCTCGACTTATTGATAAAGTAATGAGAAAATAAAGAAGCTTGCCAGATTTGATGATCCATCTTGAACTAGGATACTATTTATATGGTTTTGTAGAGCAATTCATAGCGCATTGAATTGTACATAAGAAATCAAATTTTCATATGCTGAAAGTTCATATAGTGGTTATAATCCTTGAGACATATACGTATGGTCTCTAATGTGTTGTGAGATAAACTTATGCAAATTTTATTTCTAAACTCAATTGGATACAGTTGCAGATGCTCTTTAACTTTCTAGAATTAATAGTTTTCATCATAATTAAAATTGGTCCCTTTTCTTAGTTTGAAGCTATTTCTTGACTACTTGATATTACAGTATGTTCGATTTTGTGATACAGAATAAGTGAATACCAATGTAAAACTTACACATTATCGAGCTTCATATGTTTCACAGATAAGATCTTTCGAAATAGCAAGAATTTATTATCAATTTGCAAGAGTATTCCCTATATGAAGGAACCGGTATATTGATCAGATTCTAACAACAGACAAAAAGAGAGTATGGAACTATGAAAAAATTTATTTTTGAAATGAAGAAAAAGTTATTTATATCAGTTCATCAAGGATGTTGTGCTAATTATTGGTACATAAAAAATTTTTTAATATGATCGCTATTAAAATTCATCGATATACCGACTCCCTTCATATAGCAAAATAGATTATTCTAGGAGACACTCTTACAAGTTAACAATGAGTCCCTGCTATTTCGAAAGATCTTATCTGTAAATTATATATAAAGTTCGATAGTGTGTAATTTTTGAAAAAGTTTTACATTGGTACTCACTTGTTCGTTGCCACAGAGTCGAACATACTGGAATATCAAGTAGTCAAGAAATAGTCTGAAAAGGGACCAGTTTTAAGTATGATAAAAATTATTAATTATAGAAAATCGAAGAGCATCTTCAGCTGTAATCAATTGAGTTTAGAAGTAAAACTTGCATAAGTTTATCTTAGAACACCTTGGAGACCACATATATATGTATCAAGGATGGGTTTAGGATAGTTGCTCGCCGAACATTTGCTCGTAAAAATGCTTCGAAGTAAATATATGTATGATATATATGACAATATCGTTTAATGCTAATAACAGAAAAAAAATACGACAATCTACAAAGATGATAAACGTCTGATGTATTTTAACTGATCCTTGATGTCTGTATGTAGATCTTGAACTAATTTATGTAATCGTTAGTTTAAGGATTCGTTTTTTCGTTTTGATGGTTGACTACCAGACAGAGTATTAATGATATCCGAATATATATTATATTCTTCTTTGATTAATTTATTCAAAAATGTCCATAATGTGGGATGTTTACATTGAAATGCGCAGTTCAATTTTCGATGCTATACTTCCACATTGTTATTTGTTCGATGCATATAATTTTTACACGCCCTGCCATATTCTACAGATTAATGAGAAATGTTGCTGGTCGTCTTGAGCGGCCACGAAGACGATCGATACAGTCAATTTTGTTCTGAACTCTTTCATTTACGATTAAGCTATCATTTCATTCGAGAGTGACTATCCTAGCGAGCAACTGTCCGGATCCCCTTAAGGATTATAACTACTATATGAACTTTCAGCATATGAAAATTTGATTTCTTATATATCATTCGATACATTGCAAATTGTTCTACAGAACTACATACATGATATCCTAGTTCAAGATAAGTCATAAAGTTCTTTAAAATATTTATTTATAGTTGTCTGCTTATTTTCTTGAACCTCAATGTCTTAATCCAACATTTCTCTGCAATCATCCACAATTGATGACTCCTTTAGCTAAATAGTAAATTGTCAAAATTAATCTTTTTCTGTTTTCTTTCTCTCTAATTATTCGTTTTCTAGTCATCGTTCAATACCAGGTCTTACTGAACGATTTGAATTATTTATTTGTTATAAAGAAACATGCAATGCTTATACAGAATTAAATGATCCAATCGTACAACGAGAAATGTTTGAATTACAAGCTAAAGTAAAAGAAAAAAAAAATTTTAATTATACTTTCTATTTTTTTTTTGAATTATTTATAAATAAATTAAAAATAGGATAAAGATGCAGGAGATGAGGAAGCTCAATTAATTGATGAAAATTACTGTAAAGCACTTGAATATGGTCTTCCACCAACAGGTGGTTGGGGTTTAGGTGTTGATCGTCTTACGATGATTCTTACTGATAGTAATAGTATCAAAGTAATAAGACTTTAGAATTATTTAATAATAAATAATTGAATTGAATATTTTGTTTTCAGGAAGTTTTACTCTTTCCATTAGTTAAACCATATAAAGAAGATGAAGAAACTCAAAAATCAGAAGACGTAACAATGACAACAGCTGGAACTGCGATGAATTAATTCGTTTCTATATCTCATGTTATGTTTTAAGATAATTATTATTAAAAAAAAACACAAAAGAAATATTTAAAGATGTTTTCTAATCTTTCATTTCTATCAAAGTATCATTTGCTTTCATATTAATATTACTAAAATTTTTGAAAAAAATAGTTTTCACTAGTCAAGAGAAATTTGATCGTATAATAAGTAAAAATTATTTCAAAATTCAACAACTAAGTAGTTCAATTGAAAAAAATACAATAATTAATTCATATTATCGTGAATTTTTATTTAATTGTTTAATATGTTTTTTATTACACGCTCTGTAATTAATTTAATAAGACTTACGAGAGAACCTCTTCAGTTGCTTCCTTCTGATTGCAATGAATTTTTGCCTAGGGATCAGGTCTCGAAATTGAGTCCGAAAGAAACTTCGTTTATAAAGATTTTTTTCTCAATAGACAGTTATTCTATATTTTTCGGTTCTTATAAATAATAATAAAAACTTCCTACGAGACATTGAGATTTAGCTAAGCTATCGAATTTTTTTTCTAGAACCTCCAGGTTTTCGGAAAACTCGTATTGTTGAATTTTGACAAGAAATTTTGCGTATTTAGAGAAGTCAACTAGAGTGACTTCCGTAGAAGAGCAAAATTTGAAAATACGAGTTTTGCGAAAACCCGAGGCTCCTAGAAAAAAATTCGGTAGCTAAATCAAATCGCAATACCTTTTAGAGAGTTTTTATTAGAACATTACGTAGTATCTATAGGCAAAAAATCATTGAAATCGAGAAGAGAGCAGCCGAAGAGGTTTCCTAATTAGTATGTAAGGATGTGGTTATGGCTGTCGATGTTAGCCTTTCTGACAGCAGCATCCGGATTAATAATCTACTGAACAAGTATAATAGTTATCGAACACAAAATTTTACACTGTTAGTTTAATTTGTTCTTTTTTACAGTCGTGTTAAACTCTGTGACGTCCATTATATTCGCACTTCAGATCAACAAAGTCATATCAATTAAACAACGAAACAATATGATTCTTAGTTTGCATAATAAAACTTGAATTTCTTGTACTATTTTCAAATTTCTAAATGAATATTTGTTTACATATGTTGAATACAATTTATCTGTTGGTTTCAATCCAATTTTATATTACCAAAAGACTTCTAAGGTATACTTATGTGATTCGAATGGAAATAAAATCGTTGGGTATAATGCGCACTATATCAACGAAGGTTTGATACGTATCGTCTGACCGCTATTGTTTTACCTGGATTTTTTCGAGTTACAAACTCTTACATGGCTAACACAATCTTCGGAGGGGTGCCGCGCCCTCTGACCTCACGCTAGATAAAACACTGATATGTCGATAGTTGTTCTCTGATCAGCAATCTCCTGCCGATATACTGTGGTAGTATAAATAAATGTGCGACATGTATATATAAAACATATATTTATTGATGTCTTAAAATCATTTTAACATTACATATAATTTCAGATTTTATGTTTAAGTTTTGTTCACGTTTTTCCTCTACTTGTCGTCGTTCTTGTTTGTCTAATATTCATTCATATCAAATGAATTCTAAATTAAATATGTTTATATTTGATTTTGATGAAACATTATCAGTTCGTTCATCAGCTATTCATATTGAAGAACTTGCTTATGATAAACAAAAATTAAATCTTGATGATATTAATAATCGTTATGAAAAATTACATCATTGTTGGAATATACGTATGAATGAAGTACATGAATGTCTTGCTCAACAAGGTATTCAAACAGAACAACTCATAGAAACATTTCGTACAATTGAATTAAGTCCCGGTGTAAATGAACTTTTTCATAATATATTCATAAATAATGGTCGAATTGTAGTAATGAGTAATGCTTGTGATCTTGTGATAAAAGAATGTCTTCATGCTCAAAATTTATTACAATATGTCTATAAAATTGAAAGTAATCCTGTACGTCAAATTTATCCAATTATAATAATTGATGAATATGAAAAACCTTTACAAACAATATGTAAAATATGTGAACCAAATTTATGTAAAGGTTCAATTATTGATAAATATCGAGATAAAAATAAATATGATCAAATAATTTTTATTGGTGATGGTGATAATGATGTTTGTGCAGCATTACATTTAAATAAAAATGATATTGCTTTTGCTAAATATGATGAAAAAGATAATACAAAAATTTATCCAATGTATAATATATTAAAAAATCAATATATTCATCAATTAAAAGCTGAATTATTTATTTGGAATACAATGAAAGATATTCAAGAAATATTAAAAATAAAAAAAATTCTTTAATATTTTATTATTCTAGATGATATTAATATTTAATCAACGTTTAATATCAAATAGTTTATCATCATCATCAACGATTACTTATCGACAATTTTGGAATTCATTAAATATTGTCTGGAACAAGTAAGGTATGTTTAATTTAAGAGTATGATTAGAAGAAATAAAAGAAAAATGAATAGAACATTTCTTTTTTCTCTACTTATTTTCTCTTGAACTATTTCAATGGTTAATATTCAATTTCAGCCGGACTCAATAACTCAAGCAGCGTGCAATCGGATCCAACAAAAAATAAAACTTTGTACCCGATCGGATCCGGATTCAAGCCTGGAAAGATGCGCAGCTTCCTAATAGATGCTCAATTTCATTTGCTCACCATTTTCATGCATCTTTTTTTTCTGAATATTTTGCAAAGATGATAGATTTTAAAATAATTTTAACTTATAGCGTATCATGCAAAAAGGCGTCCACAGTTCTCCTCTTTCGATTGTTGAAAATCGCAGGTTGCTAGCTGTTAAAATAGTTTACAACAAAGAATTAAAAAGTGAATATATGACTATTAAACGTTTAAGAGTAAGGTATTGGAAAAAAGTTTAACAACAACATAGTTTCGTTTCTTTTTGTGATACCTTTAACTTTTTAAGGAAAGGTCGAAGAAAATGCGACGATTCCTCATATTGTTCTCTTTAAAATCGTATTATTAAAAAATTATCGTCTGATATCTAAAAACTACCGTATTCAGTTTTTTAAAAACTTTCCCATCATAGTTTATCTATGAAATCTTGCTCTAGAATGCATTAGATGTAAAACTTCATTGGCTATTAAAAAATTGTATCTCTTTGGAGAATGAGCGTTTCATTACAACAAATGATTATACTAGAAAATTTGTCATCACTGTTATAAAGATGGGTCACGATACGCTGAAAACCATAGAATATTTGCCTATCATCTTTAGTTCCAGTTGGAACAACTTTTTTTTTCTCGTGGTTGCAGCCTCAGTCTGATTCCGCACATTTAAAGGTACGTAGAACTGAATAACTTTAGATATCTGAACTCAATCGATCCGACAGAAAAGTTACAATATTGTTAATAATGATCGACTTATGTATGTGTTCATCTATCTGATAGATTTTCTTTAGATACGATCGAAAACGTGCACAAGAAATAGGACCTGATCGTGCTTGTGCTGAATGGTTATTACGATGTGGTGGTTCAGTACGTTTTAAAAATTGGGGTACATTTATATCAAATAATAATGCACTACCAACTGGTGCTCCTGGTCAATTTAAAATAGAAGAAATTCGAGCTATAAAAGCATGTATTACATCTGAAGGTTTTGCATATTTAGGTTATTGAATTATTTCATTTATTATTTCAAAATAACACTTTTGATATTTCTTTGTTTTTTTTTGAATTTCAGACGGACTTACTGATTTAAAGAAAATTCATTTAGAAAAATGTGATCAAATTAATGATAGTATGTCTAATTATTGAATTGAATTTTTATATTTAATTTAATTTAGGTTCTATTGCTCGATGTAATAAAATAAAAGATACATTAGAATCTATAACACTTATTGATTTAATTCAAATAAGTGAAAATGGTCTTGCTTATTTAGCTGGATTGACGTATGTCAATTATTTAATTATCACATATTATTAAAAGTTTATACTTTTTCTTTTTTAGAAATTTAAAACATATTATTTTAACTCATTTGCCAAGTGTAAAACATCGTGAGGCAGTACTCAAATTATTGAAAAATGAATTACCTCGATGTACTATTAATTATGATGATAAACATCCTTCATCTAAGGAATTGAAAGAAAAATGAATATGTTTTTTCTTTTTTCAAATAAATTTCATAATTAAAAATAATGTTTCAGTTATTGATTGTTTAATATATTCATTTAATACAAATATTAATATCAAGTAGAGAACAACGAATTCTATGTATATAGAAAATTAAAGTTTTTAAATATTAATTTATAATGATAGAGTACAAGTTGATGATATATTCTACAAAATAAAACAAAAAAAAAGTCGAAATATTTTTATTAAACTTCTCATACTCAACTAATAAATTAGCAAACATATCAGTTCTCTGTTTCTATTGGTTGGGAAATGATTCGGAGGTTCTCGTTAATAGTCAATGGTACAGAGTAAACCAATCAATTACATAAGGAAACCATATCTGTTTTTTCTTTAGACCGTTGAGTCAACTTTCTATATTTTTATAATAATTTTTATAAATATTTTGCATTTGTTATTTATTTTAAAGATTATTATTCAATGGCATCAACAGAAAGAATTTCTACCGATAATAATAATAATAATACGACTTCATCATCATCATCATCATCATCTGATCATAATGATGAAAAGAAAACATCATCAAATCATGATAAAGAATCAGGTTTTGAGTGCAATGTAAGTTCTTATTGTTTTTATTTTTGTTTACATTAATAATTAAACTAAAATAAAAAAAAAATCTAACATATAGATTTGTCTAGAAACAGCTCATAATGCTGTTTTATCTCTTTGTGGTCATTTATTTTGTTGGCCATGTATTCATCAATGGTTAGAAACTCGTGCACATAATCCAACATGTCCAGTATGTAAAAGTAGTATTTCACGTGAAAAATTAATTCCAATCTATGGACGAAATGCTCCACAAACTGATCCACGGTTTTTTAAATATAGTTTTTGTTAATATTCGACAAAAAGATATATATTAAATAATTTATTTTAGAGATACTATACCACCACGACCAGCTGGTACAAGACAAGAAGCTCGTCAAAATAGAGTAAATTAGATTAAAATTTTTGTTTTTTTTAAATTATTTTTTTTTTCTAT